AATATGCAATTTCAAATCACTATTTTGGTACGACGACACGACTCTTGTCGCCAGCAACAGGTTAACATTTGAGTACGCCATTGCGAACTGTACACATCTTCGTAGAGGATCGAAATTCGAGCGATAACTATCCAAGGCATTATTTTTTTGAGATTTTTAAGGTTGTGGCATCAATTGCAACATCTCCGGATCCTACAAGTTAATTTAATCTTTTAATAAGGTTGACGACAAGACACTCAGAGTCACTACCGCAACAGTGGTCGGACCAGTGTAGGGTTTCGTAGCCGTTTCGGAATCGGGTCGGCACGAGAGTGCTCTAGCGACGATATTGAGTTAATCTTTTTTCTACGGAAACTGTGTAAGCCGCGAAGAATGATGACCACCTTGCCATTCGTTGCGAAAGTTGCGGAATGTTACAAGACGTGCATTAAGTCACATGGTCCGTTTGGATGATGAAAAACTATTACCTAACAGGTAAACGACGAAGTGTCTTTCGCCTAGCAGGTAAACCCTAAAAGTCGCTGACGCGTACTTCAAGAAAAGAAGTTTCTTGTCATGGGCGGGTAAAATGATGCCCCGCTGGCTGTAGCTATCCCTACTGATAGCAGACTACGCTTAACACACCGTCTGTATCGTACCGCAGCCTACTACAAAATTGATTGCACCACAGACCATGTGATAAGTCCTTTCCTGGTCCGCTATTGCCAAATCTTAAGACCAAATCAAGCTTTTTGTAAACTATCGATGGAGCGCTGACAGTCAGAACCTTATTCTTACTCCGTGCCAAATCTTAAGACCAAATCAAGCTTTTTTGTAAACTATCGATGGAGCGCTGACAGTCAGAACCTTATTCTTACTCCGTGTTCATTTTCAAATACAATAGAGAAACAGTTAACTCTTCGTTATTATGCGAATACTTGTGCAAATATGCGAATAGGACATGCAAATGTCGAACTACCTTGACATATGTGGGCATCAGCCGGTCAGTAATCGTCTTGATGTGCTCCAGGTCAAATTTTACTCCATGTTTACTCACACTTTAACTGAGAAGTGGTACATTTCTGGCAGCAAATATGCACTTCTTGAGGTTGGCATTAAACTTGTGCTTGAGCATGAGTCTACGATTCTTCCGGACGTGAATTAAGTGCACTCCAACCCTTGTCTATCCGTCCATAGTCCGGATTTTTACGAAAACATCATCGAAGCAGCTGGATGCTAATTTTCGTACAGATCTTAATAGATTTATTATACGTCTGTTGATTGTAATAGGATTGTCACCTAATCCTTTTAGATTTAAAAATTATTCCAAAAGCACATCCCTGAGGTTCTCACTGCATAATGGGCAATACACTATATGTGCAATACAATCTATTAGAATCCGTCCATCAGATCTATTTATGAAAACATGGTACTCATTGCCATACCATTGACGGTGTCATCCACACTCAGTATAGGTTAAATTCAAGCCAATTGAAGTTGCAGAATTTAACCTGTTGAAAGCATGTTCTATGTGCTACCCTCCTAAGACTTTCCGGACACAAATTGTTGGACAGCTATGAGAGGTGGTCGACTCCTCACGTGACCGGCTGCTCTAAGATCTTTAGATAATATGTCAATCGCTAGCACTTGATCATGAGGCAGTGGCCATTAGTTAGTGTAACAGTGCTTCAAATTCGGTTTCAGTTCAATTTTGTGACGAGTACCTTTGTCCTTAGGTAACTCGCACGGCACTTTTCTCAAAACACATCTCTGAGTTCCGTCAAATAATTTAAGGGAGAATTTGCTTTAAATGAGTTTCACAATTGGGATGTGTACCGCCTCAATTCGAGTCTTTTAACTAAGGACACTCTCGTGCACTGATGTGATAATGAGAACTCGTTCTTCCTTGGCAAAGAACAGTGTCAATCGGATATTACTGCCGCACTCATCTTCTGCTAACAGTACACAGATCTGCTCGGATTTGTCGCTGAGCAGATCACACAAGACCCTCTTTTGGTTCATCGGGGATAACTGAGTGATTTCCGAAGTTAAATTTGGGAGGCATAATCAGGTCAAGCATATACGCGCATGTGCTTGACCTTTCATTCACCAAGACATTGAAATTTGTTGAAAATTAATTGGTCATTTTGCAAGTAATGTACACTGGCAGCAACCTTTCCTCGGTCTGCCTCGACTTATTCGAGTAGTGGGCTATCGGCGCTTCCTGATTTCGATGCAGTCGACGATAACTTTTTTTATAGCACAATGGGTTGTCAAATTGAAATCTTGTGCAGTCGTAATAACGATCAAATCACACTCCTATTCCATCGCACTCACTCGTACTACATCCCAGTCTTGTAAATACTTGAAGACGTTCACCGTATAATTATCTGATGAAAAAGTGGTAAGAATATCTGCTCGTCGATTCCATCTATATTATGTATAAATGTCCAAGCCAGGATAGACCAAGGAGATCATCCAGCTTGTCTTCCAAGTCCATTGGGATGAAGCCGATATATTATTTGACCTTTTTCAGTGTGTAAATAATCTCATTACACTTCTCTTAACTATTTCTGGTGCGCCTGTAGCTAGGCGTAGCGTCATCGTCGTGAAAGGTATCTCGCGCTCAATATAAATAAACCTGTTTCTATCTAGCGATTGGCATTGTACAAATTCGTTTGACGCCCTTCAAAAGACTGGGAATCAAATTGACATGTCCTTAACCACAGTAAGCTAAAGGTGATGCGGATTATCTCGTTTTTAGATGCAATAACACAAGATGATTGCACGGTGGGATCAACATTCGACAAGAGACTTGCAAATTGCTTGATCAATAAAATTCTCTACAATCATTGACCCCGACCTCTTTTTGACTGTCTGTTACGATGTTGCATTTCTGCTATAAAATTGACCCACTGGCCGATTTTTGACTGTCTGTTACGATATTGCATAATTTCTATAGGGTTAGCCCACGGTTTTTGTACCCTATTTTAATCGTTGATTCGGAGAGATTCCCAAATTTATGCAAAAAGTGGTAATTCTAGGAAGTTCATGACAACTAGTTCGAATAGACGCATTAGTCTTCACTTTTACAGGTGGAAAATAAATGTAAGCGATTTTAAAAATTGAGATGCTACAGACTGATATGTGCCCTCTTGAAGGTGCGATATTTAACAAACATTACGACTCTGCTTGATCCAAACGATATGCGTCAATTTTGACTTAACGGTAGTTAAACGTGCGATCATTTCGGTACAAAATCACGCTTTCCGTCAATATTGAGGCCTAAAACGAGTCTGTGCAAAAAAAGTACTGATGTTCATCTCGATGACGATTGTTGCCGCGAAAGAGCATGGAAATTACTTCTGTCTCCCCACTTACTTACGAAGTCTAAAAATGCTTTATATATATACTTTGTTCGGGAAATATGGAGGAAAATGTCGAATTTTAACGAAAAAAGTCATTTTAGGTCCCTTTTTTGACCTCGGGGAAATGCAACTGCGACAAGACTACTGGCCCTCTGCCTGAGCAACTTTTTGCGAGCTCATAGGTATGTATGCGACAAGTTCTGAAGTCCTATTGCACCAGATGTCGCTGAGCGGGTGAGACGGTACGTTTCTGAGGTAAAACATTTGACTGCTCGCTTCGAAACCACAAGTTCTAAGGATTTCGTGACAACTAACCCTATTCAGCTTTCCGACGTGGTTGCATTTAATTCAGCGCGCCTTTTTACATCATAAAGTCTATGTGCCGAATCGGTAACAAAACAGAGCATTTTGAAATCAATTTTGCAAAAAAAGGACCATGTGTACATAAAATGTGAGCATTTGCACGAGAAAGGTCAATAACACAACGTTGGGTGCACCTGGTCCGAGAGCCAGTTCGTTTCACAGGTTTGTCTCATGAATAAAGGGAAGTTTATCGGTTTAGACTGGGAACCGTCAAGTGTGGCATTATAGACCCAGCTGGCCCACGTGAAAGAGCATGGAAAAAATTCCCTTTAAAACATTGGTGGGTTTAGTGTAACCTATCTGTCAACCGTGTAGAAGAAGCAAAAGAAATTGCAAAATGGTTACGGTTTACCGATGTTACAAAGACAGGAATGACAACCTTCTTGGCCAGCTTTATTTATTACATTTTCCTGTGGCAGGCTGAAGCATCTTTGACACTCCTTTGGTTTGTAATATAAATTGTTCCTTTTGACACTCAACTCTGTATCTGTAGTTCCTTGTCACTGGTTGGGTGCGAGAGCCATCATTTCCAGCTTAACGAGAGGTTCCTTTTCATTCTCTACCTCAATCTTTCCTGCGGAAGGTCGTCTATGGGGCGTGCAGAACCCGAATCTTTCATTAATTTATATCTATCAATGAAGTCCTTTGGTTCCGCAAAATCAAATGTCTCTTCCAGGTACTCAACAGCAGCTGTAATAGTGTAGATTTTTACCGACTGACCGTGAGACCTCGTATAAACAATGCAATAGGACTTTATCCCATTCCGCAAATTTGATGCAATGCAACTCGTAAGGGAACGCATTCACTGAATGAGTGCGAATTACGATTCCTCTTGAATTTAAGAGCGTAACACTTTTTCAGCACATCTTCGGTTGGTAGTCCCTGTTTGGTCGTGCTTATCTGACGATGTGTAGACAATTTGCAATCAAAACTGTTCTATCGATTGATTTGCGCCGCGTCAAGTCTTGATTCTTCTTGCTGTCTTACTTGACAGTATTGTAAAGACGAACAGAAACCACTCGGCTCTGTACATGACTGATGAGGCGCATCTATCTATTTGCTTTACAAGCCCGGAGCGCGCACTACCGTCTGGATGAATTCCGACGTGTGTTTTCGAATCGAACATATGCTGCGTAAGAGTTGCTGCAGCCAGGTGAGGCGGTTACGAGCAGCTGTACCTTTGATGCGGTTGTATAGACAGATCATTGTTGCTAGATTGCAAGATTGGGTGATTCTTCATCCCAGATGTAAGCGGCAAGCTCGTATTCAGCAGTGTCCAATATCGAGTTGATGGTTTTGCATGCCAGTGCACTGCGAGGTGCATATGAAATGGATCCGAACATTCTGACGAGTTGTTTTGTGCTCTTGTAGCTTGTGTAAAAAGCGTTTGTACGTTTGTGGTTGTGCCATCACTGATTGGAATGTCGTGATAGCAATGTCAAGAATGACGTATTGTTGTGGCCGTTGTTGTGATTCGGTCTATGCATGCCGGATCGGTATGTTAATAGTGTGTTGACAGTGGTAACACGTGAGCATGAGGCTCTGGTTGTCGAGCGCTCGCTTCTCGAACAGGAGGCACGTGGATCGATGCCATGCATCTCCGGCGTGATCATGTTACGATGACAAAACCAGTCAGCACCAGCACATTTCCAAATGTGCACTTCGCAGTTCAACTGCGTCACCAGCTGACCTTGAGTAACACTTTTTTCAGCACATCTTCGGTTGGTAGTCCCTGTTTGGTCGTGCTTATCTGACGATGTGTAGACAATTTGCAATCAAAACTGTTCTATCGATTGATTTGCGCCGCGTCAAGTCTTGATTCTTCTTGCTGTCTTACTTGACAGTATTGTAAAGACGAACAGAAACCACTCGGCTCTGTACATGACTGATGAGGCGCATCTATCTATTTGATTTACAAGCCCGGATCGCGCACTACCGTCTGGATGAATTCCGACGTGTGTTTTCGAATCGAACATATGCTGCGTAAGAGTTGCTGCAGCCAGGTGAGGCGGTTACGAGCAGCTGTACCTTTGATGCGGTTGTATAGACAGATCATTGTTGCTAGATTGCAAGATTGGGTGATTCTTCATCCCAGATGTAAGCGGCAAGCTCGTATTCAGCAGTGTCCAATATCGAGTTGATGGTTTTGCATGCCAGTGCACTGCGAGGTGCATATGAAATGGATCCGAACATTCTGACGAGTTGTTTTGTGCTCTTGTAGCTTGTGTAAAAAGCGTTTGTACGTTTGTGGTTGTGCCATCACTGATTGGAATGTCGTGATAGCAATGTCAAGAATGACGTATTGTTGTGGCCGTTGTTGTGATTCGGTCTATGCATGCCGGATCGGTATGTTAATAGTGTGTTGACAGTGGTAACACGTGAGCATGAGGCTCTGGTTGTCGAGCGCTCGCTTCTCGAACGAGAGGCACGTGGATCGATGCCATGCATCTCCGGCGTGATCATGTTACGATGACAAAACCAGTCAGCACCAGCACATTCCCAAATGTGCACTTCGCAGTTCAACTGCGTCACCAGCTGACCTTGAGTAACACTTTTTCAGCACATCTTCGGTTGGTAGTCCCTGTTTGGTCGTGCTTATCTGACGATGTGTAGACAATTTGCAATCAAAACTGTTCTATCGATTGATTTGCGCCGCGTTAAGTCTTGATTCTTCTTGCTGTCTTACTTGACAGTATTGTAAAGACGAACAGAAACCACTCGGCTCTGTACATGACTGATGAGGCGCATCTATCTATTTGCTTTACAAGCCCGGAGCGCGCACTACCGTCTGGATGAATTCCGACGTGTGTTTTCGAATCGAACATATGCTGCGTAAGAGTTGCTGCAGCCAGGTGAGGCGGTTACGAGCAGCTGTACCTTTGATGCGGTTGTATAGACAGATCATTGTTGCTAGATTGCAAGATTGGGTGATTCTTCATCCCAGATGTAAGCGGCAAGCTCGTATTCAGCAGTGTCCAATATCGAGTTGATGGTTTTGCATGCCAGTGCACTGCGAGGTGCATATGAAATGGATCCGAACATTCTGACGAGTTGTTTTGTGCTCTTGTAGCTTGTGTAAAAAGCGTTTGTACGTTTGTGGTTGTGCCATCACTGATTGGAATGTCGTGATAGCAATGTCAAGAATGACGTATTGTTGTGGCCGTTGTTGTGATTCGGTCTATGCATGCCGGATCGGTATGTTAATAGTGTGTTGACAGTGGTAACACGTGAGCATGAGGCTCTGGTTGTCGAGCGCTCGCTTCTCGAACGAGAGGCACGTGGATCGATGCCATGCATCTCCGGCGTGATCATGTTACGATGACAAAACCAGTCAGCACCAGCACATTTCCAAATTTGCACTTCGCAGTTCAACTGCGTCACCAGCTGACCTTGAGTAACACTTTATCAGCACATTTTCGGTTGGTAGTCCCTGTTTGGTCGTGCTTATCTGACGATGTGTAGACAATTTGCAATCAAAACTGTTCTATCGATTGATTTGCGCCGCGTCAAGTCTTGATTCTTCTTGCTGTCTTACTTGACAGTATTGTAAAGACGAACAGAAACCACTCGGCTCTGTACATGACTGATGAGGCGCATCTATCTATTTGCTTTACAAGCCCGGAGCGCGCACTACCGTCTGGATGAATACCGACGTGTGTTTTCGAATCGAACATATGCTGCGTAAGAGTTGCTGCAGCCAGGTGAGGCGGTTACGAGCAGCTGTACCTTTGATGCGGTTGTATAGACAGATCATTGTTGCTAGATTGCAAGATTGGGTGATTCTTCATCCCAGATGTAAGCGGCAAGCTCGTATTCAGCAGTGTCCAATATCGAGTTGATGGTTTTGCATGCCAGTGCACTGCGAGGTGCATATGAAATGGATCCGAACATTCTGACGAGTTGTTTTGTGCTCTTGTAGCTTGTGTAAAAAGCGTTTGTACGTTTGTGGTTGTGCCATCACTGATTGGAATGTCGTGATAGCAATGTCAAGAATGACGTATTGTTGTGGCCGTTGTTGTGATTCGGTCTATGCATGTATGATCGGTATGTTAATAGTGTGTTGACAGTGGTAACACGTGAGCATGAGGCTCTGGTTGTCGAGCGCTCGCTTCTCGAACGGGAGGCACGTGGATCGATGCCATGCATCTCCGGCGTGATCATGTTACGATGACAAAACCAGTCAGCACCAGCACATTCCCAAATGTGCACTTCGCAGTTCAACTGCGTCACCAGCTGACCTTGAGTAACACTTTTTCAGCACATCTTCGGTTGGTAGTCCCTGTTTGGTCGTGCTTATCTGACGATGTGTAGACAATTTGCAATCAAAACTGTTCTATCGATTGATTTGCGCCGCGTCAAGTCTTGATTCTTCTTGCTGTCTTACTTGACAGTATTGTAAAGACGAACAGAAACCACTCGGCTCTGTACATGACTGATGAGGCGCATCTATCTATTTGCTTTACAAGCCCGGAGCGCGCACTACCGTCTGGATGAATTCCGACGTGTGTTTTCGAATCGAACATATGCTGCGTAAGAGTTGCTGCAGCCAGGTGAGGCGGTTACGAGCAGCTGTACCTTTGATGCGGTTGTATAGACAGATCATTGTTGCTAGATTGCAAGATTGGGTGATTCTTCATCCCAGATGTAAGCGGCAAGCTCGTATTCAGCAGTGTCCAATATCGAGTTGATGGTTTTGCATGCCAGTGCACTGCGAGGTGCATATGAAATGGATCCGAACATTCTGACGAGTTGTTTTGTGCTCTTGTAGCTTGTGTAAAAAGCGTTTGTACGTTTGTGGTTGTGCCATCACTGATTGGAATGTCGTGATAGCAATGTCAAGAATGACGTATTGTTGTGGCCGTTGTTGTGATTCGGTCTATGCATGCCGGATCGGTATGTTAATAGTGTGTTGACAGTGGTAACACGTGAGCATGAGGCTCTGGTTGTCGAGCGCTCGCTTCTCGAACGAGAGGCACGTGGATCGATGCCATGCATCTCCGGCGTGATCATGTTACGATGACAAAACCAGTCAGCACCAGCACATTTCCAAATTTGCACTTCGCAGTTCAACTGCGTCACCAGCTGACCTTGAGTAACACTTTATCAGCACATTTTCGGTTGGTAGTCCCTGTTTGGTCGTGCTTATCTGACGATGTGTAGACAATTTGCAATCAAAACTGTTCTATCGATTGATTTGCGCCGCGTCAAGTCTTGATTCTTCTTGCTGTCTTACTTGACAGTATTGTAAAGACGAACAGAAACCACTCGGCTCTGTACATGACTGATGAGGCGCATCTATCTATTTGATTTACAAGCCCGGAGCGCGCACTACCGTCTGGATGAATTCCGACGTGTGTTTTCGAATCGAACATATGCTGCGTAAGAGTTGCTGCAGCCAGGTGAGGCGGTTACGAGCAGCTGTACCTTTGATGCGGTTGTATAGACAGATCATTGTTGCTAGATTGCAAGATTGGGTGATTCTTCATCCCAGATGTAAGCGGCAAGCTCGTATTCAGCAGTGTCCAATATCGAGTTGATGGTTTTGCATGCCAGTGCACTGCGAGGTGCATATGAAATGGATCCGAACATTCTGACGAGTTGTTTTGTGCTCTTGTAGCTTGTGTAAAAAGCGTTTGTACGTTTGTGGTTGTGCCATCACTGATTGGAATGTCGTGATAGCAATGTCAAGAATGACGTATTGTTGTGGCCGTTGTTGTGATTCGGTCTATGCATGCCGGATCGGTATGTTAATAGTGTGTTGACAGTGGTAACACGTGAGCATGAGGCTCTGGTTGTCGAGCGCTCGCTTCTCGAACAGGAGGCACGTGGATCGATGCCATGCATCTCCGGCGTGATCATGTTACGATGACAAAACCAGTCAGCACCAGCACATTTCCAAATGTGCACTTCGCAGTTCAACTGCGTCACCAGCTGACCTTGAGTAACACTTTATCAGCACATCTTCGGTTGGTAGTCCCTGTTTGGTCGTGCTTATCTGACGATGTGTAGACAATTTGCAATCAAAACTGTTCTATCGATTGATTTGCGCCGCGTCAAGTCTTGATTCTTCTTGCTGTCTTACTTGACAGTATTGTAAAGACGAACAGAAACCACTCGGCTCTGTACATGACTGATGAGGCGCATCTATCTATTTGATTTACAAGCCCGGAGCGCGCACTACCGTCTGGATGAATTCCGACGTGTGTTTTCGAATCGAACATATGCTGCGTAAGAGTTGCTGCAGCCAGGTGAGGCGGTTACGAGCAGCTGTACCTTTGATGCGGTTGTATAGACAGATCATTGTTGCTAGATTGCAAGATTGGGTGATTCTTCATCCCAGATGTAAGCGGCAAGCTCGTATTCAGCAGTGTCCAATATCGAGTTGATGGTTTTGCATGCCAGTGCACTGCGAGGTGCATATGAAATGGATCCGAACATTCTGACGAGTTGTTTTGTGCTCTTGTAGCGTGTGTAAAAAGCGTTTGTACGTTTGTGGTTGTGCCATCACTGATTGGAATGTCGTGATAGCAATGTCAAGAATGACGTATTGTTGTGGCCGTTGTTGTGATTCGGTCTATGCATGCCGGATCGGTATGTTAATAGTGTGTTGACAGTGGTAACACGTGAGCATGAGGCTCTGGTTGTCGAGCGCTCGCTTCTCGAACGGGAGGCACGTGGATCGATGCCATGCATCTCCGGCGTGATCATGTTACGATGACAAAACCAGTCAGCACCAGCACATTCCCAAATGTGCACTTCGCAGTTCAACTGCGTCACCAGCTGACCTTGAGTAACACTTTTTCAGCACAGTTTCGGTTGGTAGTCCCTGTTTTGTTGTACTTATCTGACGATGTGTAGACAATTTGCAATCAAATCTGTGCTATCGATTGATTTGCGCCGCGTCAAGTCTTGATTCTTCTTGCTGTCTTACTTGACAGTATTGTAAAGACGAACAGAAACCACTCGGCTCTGTACATGACTGATGAGGCGCATCTATCTATTTGCTTTACAAGCCCGGAGCGCGCACTACCGTCTGGATGCATTCCGACGTGTGTTTTCGAATCGAACATATGCTGCGTAAGAGTTGCTGCAGCCAGGTGAGGCGGTTACGAGCAGCTCAACCTTTGGTGCGATTGTACAGACAGATCATTGTCGCTAGGTTGCAAGATCGGATGATTCTTCATCCCAGATGTAAGCGGCAAGCTCGTATTCAGCAGTGTCCAATATCGAGTTGATGATTTGCATGCCAGTGCACTGAGTGGTGCATATGAAATGGATCCGAACATTCTGACGAGTTGTTTTGTGCTCTTGTAGCGTGTGTGAAAAGCGTTTGTGCGTTTGTGGTTGTGCCATCACTGATTGGAATGTCGTGATAGCAATGTCAAGAATGACGTATTGTTGTGGCCGTTGTTGTGATTCGGTCTATGCATGCATGATCGGTATGTTAATAGTGTGTTGACAGTGGTAACACGTGAGCATGAGGCTCTGGTTGTCGAGCGCTCGCTTCTCGAACGGGAGGCACGTGGATCGATGCCATGCATCTCCGGCGTGATCATGTTACGATGACAAAACCAGTCAGCACCAGCACATTCCCAAATGTGCACTTCGCAGTTCAACTGCGTCACCAGCTGACCTTGAGTAACACTTTTTTCAGCACATCTTCGGTTGGTAGTCCCTGTTTTGTTGTACTTATCTGACGATGTGTAGACAATTTGCAATCAAAGCTGTGCTATCGATTGATTTGCGCCGCGTCAAGTCTTGATTCTTCTGGCTGTCTTACTTGACAGTATTGTAAAGACGAACAGAAACCACTCGGCTCTGTACATGACTGATGAGGCGCATCTATCTATTTGATTTACAAGCCCGGAGCGCGCACTACCGTCTGGATGAATTCCGACGTGTGTTTTCGAATCGAACATATGCTGCGTAAGAGTTGCTGCAGCCAGGTGAGGCGGTTACGAGCAGCTCAACCTTTGATGCGATTGTACAGACAGATCATTGTCGCTAGGTTGCAAGATTGGATGATTCTTCATCCCAGATGTAAGCGGCAAGCTCGTATTCAGCAGTGTCCAATATCGAGTTGATGGTTTTGCATGCCAGTGCACTGAGTGGTGCATATGAAATGGATCCGAACATTCTGACGAGTTGTTTTGTGCTCTTGTAGCGTGTGTGAAAAGCGTTTGTGCGTTTGTGGTTGTGCCATCACTGATTGGAATGTCGTGATAGCAATGTCAAGAATGACGTATTGTTGTGGCCGTTGTTGTGATTCGGTCTATGCATGCCGGATCGGTATGTTACTAGTGTGTTGACAGTGGTAACACGTGAGCATGAGGCTCTGGTTGTCGAGCGCTCGCTTCTCGAACGGGAGGCACGTGGATCGATGCCATGCATCTCCGGCGTGATCATGTTACGATGACAAAACCAGTCAGCACCAGCACATTCCCAAATGTGCACTTCGCAGTTCAACTGCGTCACCAGCTGACCTTGAGTAACACTTTTTTCAGCACATCTTCGGTTGGTAGTCCCTGTTTTGTTGTACTTATCTGACGATGTGTAGACAATTTGCAATCAAAGCTGTGCTATCGATTGATTTGCGCCGCGTCAAGTCTTGATTCTTCTGGCTGTCTTACTTGACAGTATTGTAAAGACGAACAGAAACCACTCGGCTCTGTACATGACTGATGAGGCGCATCTATCTATTTGCTTTACAAGCCCGGAGCGCGCACTACCGTCTGGATGCATTCCGACGTGTGTTTTCGAATCGAACATATGCTGCGTAAGAGTTGCTGCAGCCAGGTGAGGCGGTTACGAGCAGCTCAACCTTTAATGCGATTGTACAGACAGATCATTGTCGCTAGGTTGCAAGATCGGATGATTCTTCATCCCAGATGTAAGCGACAAGCTCGTATTCAGCAGTGTCCAATATCGAGTTGATGATTTGCATGCCAGTGCACTGAGTGGTGCATATGAAATGGATCCGAATATTCTGACGAGTTGTTTTGTGCTCTTGTAGCGTGTGTGAAAAGCGTTTGTGCGTTTGTGGTTGTGCCATCACTGATTGGAATGTCGTGATAGCAATGTCAAGAACGACGTATTGTTGTGGCCGTTGTTGTGATTCGGTCTATGCATGCAGGATCGGTATGTTAATAGTGTGTTGACAGTGAAAATAGGTAAGCATAAGGCTCTGGTTGTCGAGCTCTCGCTTCTAGAACGAGAGGCACGTGGATCGATGCCATGTCTCTCCGGCGTGATCATATTACGATGACAAAACCAGTCAGCACCAGCACATTCCCAAATGTGCACTTCGCAGTTCAACTGCGTCACCAGCTGACCTTGAGTAACACTTTTTTCAGCACATTTTCGGTTGGTAGTCCCTGTTTTGTTGTACTTATCTGACGATGTGTAGACAATTTGCAATCAAAGCTGCGCTATCGATTGATTTGCGCCGCGTCAAGTCTTGATTCTTCTGGCTGTCTTACTTGACAGTATTGTAAAGACGAACAGAAACCACTCGGCTCTGTACATGACTGATGAGGCGCATCTATCTATTTGCTTTACAAGCCCGGAGCGCGCACTACCGTCTGGATGCATTCCGACGTGTGTTTTCGAATCGAACATATGCTGCGTAAGAGTTGCTGCAGCCAGGTGAGGCGGTTACGAGCAGCTCAACCTTTGATGCGATTGTACAGACAGATCATTGTCGCTAGGTTGCAAGATCGGATGATTCTTCATCCCAGATGTAAGCGGCAAGCTCGTATTCAGCAGTGTCCAATATCGAGTTGATGATTTTGCATGCCAGTGCACTGAGTGGTGCATATGAAATGGATCCGAATATTCTGACGAGTTGTTTTGTGCTCTTGTAGCGTGTGTGAAAAGCGTTTGTGCGTTTGTGGTTGTGCCATCACTGATTGGAATGTCGTGATAGCAAAGTCAAGAACGACGTATTGTTGTGGCCGTTGTTGTGATTCGGTCTATGCATGCCGGATCGGTATGTTAATAGTGTGTTGACAGTGGTAACACGTGAGCATGAGGCTCTGGTTGTCGAGCGCTCGCTTCTCGAACGGGAGGCACGTGGATCGATGCCATGTCATCTCCGGCGTGATCATGTTACGATGACAAAACCAGTCAGCACCAGCACATTCCCAAATGTGCACTTCGCAGTTCAACTGCGTCACCAGCTGACCTTGAGGTAACACTTTTTTCAGCACATCTTCGGTTGGTAGTCCCTGTTTTGTTGTACTTATCTGACGATGTGTAGACAATTTGCAATCAAAGCTGTGCGCTATCGATTGATTTGCGCCGCGTCAAGTCTTGATTCTTCTGGCTGTCTTACTTGACAGTATTGTAAAGACGAACAGAAACCACTCGGCTCTGTACATGACTGATGAGGCGCATCTATCTATTTACTTTACAAGCCCGGAGCGCGCACTACCGTCTGGATGCATTCCGACGTGTGTTTTCGAATCGAACATATGCTGCGTAAGAGTTGCTGCAGCCAGGTGAGGCGGTTACGAGCAGCTCAACCTTTGGTGCGATTGTACAGACAGATAATTGTCGCTAGGTTGCAAGATCGGATGATTCTTCATCCCAGATGTTAGTGGCAAGCTCGTATTCAGCAGTGTCCAATATTGAGTTGATGATTTTGCATGCCAGTGCACTGAGTGGTACATATGAAATGGATCCGAATATTCTGACGAGTTGTTTTGTGCTCTTGTAGCGTATGTAAAAAGCGTTGTGCGTTTGTGGTTGTGCCATCACTGATTGGAATGTCGTGATAGCAAAGTCAAGAACGACGTATTGTTGTGGCCGTTGTTGTGATTCGGTCTATGCATGCCGGATCGGTATGTTAATAGTGTGTTGACAGTGGTAACACGTGAGCATGAGGCTCTGGTTGTCGAGCGCTCGCTTCTCGAACGGGAGGCACGTGGATCGATGCCATGTCTCTCCGGCGTGATCATGTTACGATGACAAAACCAGTCAGCACCAGCACATTCCCAAATGTGCACTTCGCAGTTCAACTGCGTCACCAGCTGACCTTGAGTAACACTTTTTCAGCACATTTTCGGTTGGTAGTCCCTGTTTTGTTGTACTTATCTGACGATGTGTAGACAATTTGCAATCAAAGCTGCGCTATCGATTGATTTGCGCCGCGTCAAGTCTTGATTCTTCTTGCTGTCTTACTTGACAGTATTGTAAAGACGAACAGAAACCACTCGGCTCTGTACATGACTGATGAGGCGCATCTATCTATTTGATTTACAAGCCCGGAGCGCGCACTACCGTCTGGATGAATTCCGACGTGTGTTTTCGAATCGAACATATGCTGCGTAAGAGTTGCTGCAGCCAGGTGAGGCGGTTACGAGCAGCTCAACCTTTGGTGCGATTGTACAGACAGATAATTGTCGCTAGGTTGCAAGATCGGATGATTCTTCATCCCAGATGTTAGTGGCAAGCTCGTATTCAGCAGTGTCCAATATTGAGTTGATGATTTTGCATGCCAGTGCACTGAGTGGTACATATGAAATGGATCCGAATATTCTGACGAGTTGTTTTGTGCTCTTGTAGCGTATGTAAAAAGCGTTGTGCGTTTGTGGTTGTGCCATCACTGATTGGAATGTCGTGATAGCAAAGTCAAGAACGACGTATTGTTGTGGCCGTTGTTGTGATTCGGTCTATGCATGCCGGATCGGTATGTTAATAGTGTGTTGACAGTGGTAACACGTGAGCATGAGGCTCTGGTTGTCGAGCGCTCGCTTCTCGAACGGGAGGCACGTGGATCGATGCCATGCATCTCCGGCGTGATCATGTTACGATGACAAAACCAGTCAGCACCAGCACATTCCCAAATGTGCACTTCGCAGTTCAACTGCGTCACCAGCTGACCTTGAGTAACACTTTTTCAGCGCATTTTCGGTTGGTAGTCCCTGTTTTGTTGTACTTATCTGACGATGTGTAGACAATTTGCAATCAAAGCTGCGCTATCGATTGATTTGCGCCGCGTCAAGTCTTGATTCTTCTGGCTGTCTTACTTGACAGTATTGTAAAGACGAACAGAAACCACTCGGCTCTGTACATGACTGATGAGGCGCATCTATCTATTTGACTTTACAAGCCCGGAGCGCGCACTACCGTCTGGATGCATTCCGACGTGTGTTTTCGAATCGAACATATGCTGCGTAACAGTTGCTGCAGCCAGGTGAGGCGGTTACGAGCAGCTCAACCTTTGGTGCGATTGTACAGACAGATAATTGTCGCTAGGTTGCAAGATCGGATGATTCTTCATCCCAGATGTTAGTGGCAAGCTCGTATTCAGCAGTGTCCAATATTGAGTTGATGATTTTGCATGCCAGTGCACTGAGTGGTACATATGAAATGGATCCGAATATTCTGACGAGTTGTTTTGTGCTCTTGTAGCGTATGTAAAAAGCGTTGTGCGTTTGTGGTTGTGCCATCACTGATTGGAATGTCGTGATAGCAAAGTCAAGAACGACGTATTGTTGTGGCCGTTGTTGTGATTCGGTCTATGCATGCCGGATCGGTATGTTAATAGTGTGTTGACAGTGGTAACACGTGAGCATGAGGCTCTGGTTGTCGAGCGCTCGCTTCTCGAACGGGAGGCACGTGAATCGATGCCATGTCTCTCCGGCGTGATCATGTTACGATGACAAAACCAGTCAGCACCAGCACATTCCCAAATGTGCACTTCGCAGTTCAACTGCGTCACCAGCTGACCTTGAGTAACACTTTTTTCAGCACATCTTCGGTTGGTAGTCCCTGTTTTGTTGTACTTATCTGACGATGTGTAGACAATTTGCAATCAAAGCTGCGCTATCGATTGATTTGCGCCGCGTCAAGTCTTGATTCTTCTTGCTGTCTTACTTGACAGTATTGTAAAGACGAACAGAAACCACTCGGCTCTGTACATGACTGATGAGGCGCATCTATCTATTTACTTTACAAGCCCGGAGCGCGCACTACCGTCTGGATGCATTCCGACGTGTGTTTTCGAATCGAACATATGCTGCGTAAGAGTTGCTGCAGCCAGGTGAGGCGGTTACGAGCAGCTCAACCTTTGGTGCGATTGTACAGACAGATAATTGTCGCTAGGTTGCAAGATCGGATGATTCTTCATCCCAGATGTTAGTGGCAAGCTCGTATTCAGCAGTGTCCAATATTGAGTTGATGATTTTGCATGCCAGTGCACTGAGTGGTACATATGAAATGGATCCGAATATTCTGACGAGTTGTTTTGTGCTCTTGTAGCGTATGTCAAAAGCGTTGTGCGTTTGTGGTTGTGCCATCACTGATTGGAATGTCGTGATAGCAAAGTCAAGAACGACGTATTGTTGTGGCCGTTGTTGTGATTCGGTCTATGCATGCCGGATCGGTATGTTAATAGTGTGTTGACAGTGGTAACACGTGAGCATGAGGCTCTGGTTGTCGAGCGCTCGCTTCTCGAACGGGAGGCACGTGAATCGATGCCATGTCTCTCCGGCGTGATCATGTTACGATGACAAAACCAGTCAGCACCAGCACATTCCCAAATGTGCACTTCGCAGTTCAACTGCGTCACCAGCTGACCTTGAGTAACACTTTTTTCAGCACATTTTCGGTTGGTAGTCCCTGTTTTGTTGTACTTATCTGACGATGTGTAGACAATTTGCAATCAAAGCTGCGCTATCGATTGATTTGCGCCGCGTCAAGTCTTGATTCTTCTTGCTGTCTTACTTGACAGTATTGTAAAGACGAACAGAAACCACTCGGCTCTGTACATGACTGATGAGGCGCATCTATCTATTTACTTTACAAGCCCGGAGCGCGCACTACCGTCTGGATGCATTCCGACGTGTGTTTTCGAATCGAACATATGCTGCGTAACAGTTGCTGCAGCCAGGTGAGGCGGTTACGAGCAGCTCAACCTTTGGTGCGATTGTACAGACAGATAATTGTCGCTAGGTTGCAAGATCGGATGATTCTTCATCCCAGATGTTAGTGGCAAGCTCGTATTCAGCAGTGTCCAATATTGAGTTGATGATTTTGCATGCCAGTGCACTGAGTGGTACATATGAAATGGATCCGAATATTCTGACGAGTTGTTTTGTGCTCTTGTAGCGTATGTAAAAAGCGTTGTGCGTTTGTGGTTGTGCCATCACTGATTGGAATGTCGTGATAGCAAAGTCAAGAACGACGTATTGTTGTGGCCGTTGTTGTGATTCGGTCTATGCATGCCGGATCGGTATGTTAATAGTGTGTTGACAGTGGTAACACGTGAGCATGAGGCTCTGGTTGTCGAGCGCTCGCTTCTCGAACGGGAGGCACGTGGATCGATGCCATGCATCTCCGGCGTGATCATGTTACGATGACAAAACCAGTCAGCACCAGCACATTCCCAAATGTGCACTTCGCAGTTCAACTGCGTCACCAGCTGACCTTGAGTAACACTTTTTTCAGCACATTTTCGGTTGGTAGTCCCTGTTTTGTTGTACTTATCTGACGATGTGTAGACAATTTGCAATCAAAGCTGTGCTATCGATTGATTTGCGCCGCGTCAAGTCTTGATTCTTCTGGCTGTCTTACTTGACAGTATTGTAAAGACGAACAGAAACCACTCGGCTCTGTACATGACTGATGAGGCGCATCTATCTATTTACTTTACAAGCCCGGAGCGCGCACTACCGTCTGGATGCATTCCGACGTGTGTTTTCGAATCGAACATATGCTGCGTAAGAGTTGCTGCAGCCAGGTGAGGCGGTTACGAGCAGCTCAACCTTTGGTGCGATTGTACAGACAGATAATTGTCGCTAGGTTGCAAGATCGGATGATTCTTCATCCCAGATGTTAGTGGCAAGCTCGTATTCAGCAGTGTCCAATATTGAGTTGATGATTTTGCATGCCAGTGCACTGAGTGGTACATATGAAATGGATCCGAATATTCTGACGAGTTGTTTTGTGCTCTTGTAGCGTATGTAAAAAGCGTTGTGCGTTTGTGGTTGTGCCATCACTGATTGGAATGTCGTGATAGCAAAGTCAAGAACGACGTATTGTTGTGGCCGTTGTTGTGATTCGGTCTATGCATGCCGGATCGGTATGTTAATAGTGTGTTGACAGTGGTAACACGTGAGCATGAGGCTCTGGTTGTCGAGCGCTCGCTTCTCGAACGGGAGGCACGTGGATCGATGCCATGTCTCTCCGGCGTGATCATGTTACGATGACAAAACCAGTCAGCACCAGCACATTCCCAAATGTGCACTTCGCAGTTCAACTGCGTCACCAGCTGACCTTGAGTAACACTTTTTTCAGCACATCTTCGGTTGGTAGTCCCTGTTTTGTTGTACTTATCTGACGATGTGTAGACAATTTGCAATCAAAGCTGCGCTATCGATTGATTTGCGCCGCGTCAAGTCTTGATTCTTCTGGCTGTCTTACTTGACAGTATTGTAAAGACGAACAGAAACCACTCGGCTCTGTACATGACTGATGAGGCGCATCTATCTATTTACTTTACAAGCCCGGAGCGCGCACTACCGTCTGGATGCATTCCGACGTGTGTTTTCGAATCGAACATATGCTGCGTAACAGTTGCTGCAGCCAGGTGAGGCGGTTACGAGCAGCTCAACCTTTGGTGCGATTGTACAGACAGATAATTGTCGCTAGGTTGCAAGATCGGATGATTCTTCATCCCAGATGTTAGTGGCAAGCTCGTATTCAGCAGTGTCCAATATTGAGTTGATGATTTTGCATGCCAGTGCACTGAGTGGTACATATGAAATGGATCCGAATATTCTGACGAGTTGTTTTGTGCTCTTGTAGCGTATGTAAAAAGCGTTGTGCGTTTGTGGTTGTGCCATCACTGATTGGAATGTCGTGATAGCAAAGTCAAGAACGACGTATTGTTGTGGCCGTTGTTGTGATTCGGTCTATGCATGCCGGATCGGTATGTTAATAGTGTGTTGACAGTGGTAACACGTGAGCATGAGGCTCTGGTTGTCGAGCGCTCGCTTCTCGAACGGGAGGCACGTGGATCGATGCCATGCATCTCCGGCGTGATCATGTTACGATGACAAAACCAGTCAGCACCAGCACATTCCCAAATGTGCACTTCGCAGTTCAACTGCGTCACCAGCTGACCTTGAGTAACACTTTTTTCAGCACAGTCTTCGGTTGGTAGTCCCTGTTTTGTTGTACTTATCTGACGATGTGTAGACAATTTGCAATCAAAGCTGTGCTATCGATTGATTTGCGCCGCGTCAAGTCTTGATTCTTCTTGCTGTCTTACTTGACAGTATTGTAAAGACGAACAGAAACCACTCGGCTCTGTACATGACTGATGAGGCGCATCTATCTATTTACTTTACAAGCCCGGAGCGCGCACTACCGTCTGGATGCATTCCGACGTGTGTTTTCGAATCGAACATATGCTGCGTAAGAGTTGCTGCAGCCAGGTGAGGCGGTTACGAGCAGCTCAACCTTTGGTGCGATTGTACAGACAGATAATTGTCGCTAGGTTGCAAGATCGGATGATTCTTCATCCCAGATGTTAGTGGCAAGCTCGTATTCAGCAGTGTCCAATATTGAGTTGATGATTTTGCATGCCAGTGCACTGAGTGGTACATATGAAATGGATCCGAATATTCTGACGAGTTGTTTTGTGCTCTTGTAGCGTATGTAAAAAGCGTTGTGCGTTTGTGGTTGTGCCATCACTGATTGGAATGTCGTGATAGCAAAGTCAAGAACGACGTATTGTTGTGGCCGTTGTTGTGATTCGGTCTATGCATGCCGGATCGGTATGTTAATAGTGTGTTGACAGTGGTAACACGTGAGCATGAGGCTCTGGTTGTCGAGCGCTCGCTTCTCGAACGGGAGGCACGTGGATCGATGCCATGCATCTCCGGCGTGATCATGTTACGATGACAAAACCAGTCAGCACCAGCACATTCCCAAATGTGCACTTCGCAGTTCAACTGCGTCACCAGCTGACCTTGAGTAACACTTTTTCAGCACATCTTCGGTTGGTAGTCCCTGTTTTGTTGTACTTATCTGACGATGTGTAGACAATTTGCAATCAAAGCTGCGCTATCGATTGATTTGCGCCGCGTCAAGTCTTGATTCTTCTTGCTGTCTTACTTGACAGTATTGTAAAGACGAACAGAAACCACTCGGCTCTGTACATGACTGATGAGGCGCATCTATCTATTTGACTTTACAAGCCCGGAGCGCGCACTACCGTCTGGATGAATTCCGACGTGTGTTTTCGAATCGAACATATGCTGCGTAAGAGTTGCTGCAGCCAGGTGAGGCGGTTACGAGCAGCTCAACCTTTGGTGCGATTGTACAGACAGATAATTGTCGCTAGGTTGCAAGATCGGATGATTCTTCATCCCAGATGTTAGTGGCAAGCTCGTATTCAGCAGTGTCCAATATTGAGTTGATGATTTTGCATGCCAGTGCACTGAGTGGTACATATGAAATGGATCCGAATATTCTGACGAGTTGTTTTGTGCTCTTGTAGCGTATGTAAAAAGCGTTGTGCGTTTGTGGTTGTGCCATCACTGATTGGAATGTCGTGATAGCAAAGTCAAGAACGACGTATTGTTGTGGCCGTTGTTGTGATTCGGTCTATGCATGCCGGATCGGTATGTTAATAGTGTGTTGACAGTGGTAACACGTGAGCATGAGGCTCTGGTTGTCGAGCGCTCGCTTCTCGAACGGGAGGCACGTGGATCGATGCCATGTCATCTCCGGCGTGATCATGTTACGATGACAAAACCAGTCAGCACCAGCACATTCCCAAATGTGCACTTCGCAGTTCAACTGCGTCACCAGCTGACCTTGAGTAACACTTTTTCAGCACATTTTCGGTTGGTAGTCCCTGTTTTGTTGTACTTATCTGACGATGTGTAGACAATTTGCAATCAAAGCTGCGCTATCGATTGATTTGCGCCGCGTCAAGTCTTGATTCTTCTTGCTGTCTTACTTGACAGTATTGTAAAGACGAACAGAAACCACTCGGCTCTGTACATGACTGATGAGGCGCATCTATCTATTTGATTTACAAGCCCGGAGCGCGCACTACCGTCTGGATGAATTCCGACGTGTGTTTTCGAATCGAACATATGCTGCGTAAGAGTTGCTGCAGCCAGGTGAGGCGGTTACGAGCAGCTCAACCTTTGGTGCGATTGTACAGACAGATAATTGTCGCTAGGTTGCAAGATCGGATGATTCTTCATCCCAGATGTTAGTGGCAAGCTCGTATTCAGCAGTGTCCAATATTGAGTTGATGATTTTGCATGCCAGTGCACTGAGTGGTACATATGAAATGGATCCGAATATTCTGACGAGTTGTTTTGTGCTCTTGTAGCGTATGTCAAAAGCGTTGTGCGTTTGTGGTTGTGCCATCACTGATTGGAATGTCGTGATAGCAAAGTCAAGAACGACGTATTGTTGTGGCCGTTGTTGTGATTCGGTCTATGCATGCCGGATCGGTATGTTAATAGTGTGTTGACAGTGGTAACACGTGAGCATGAGGCTCTGGTTGTCGAGCGCTCGCTTCTCGAACGGGAGGCACGTGGATCGATGCCATGTCTCTCCGGCGTGATCATGTTACGATGACAAAACCAGTCAGCACCAGCACATTCCCAAATGTGCACTTCGCAGTTCAACTGCGTCACCAGCTGACCTTGAGTAACACTTTTTTCAGCACATTTTCGGTTGGTAGTCCCTGTTTTGTTGTACTTATCTGACGATGTGTAGACAATTTGCAATCAAAGCTGCGCTATCGATTGATTTGCGCCGCGTCAAGTCTTGATTCTTCTTGCTGTCTTACTTGACAGTATTGTAAAGACGAACAGAAACCACTCGGCTCTGTACATGACTGATGAGGCGCATCTATCTATTTGATTTACAAGCCCGGAGCGCGCACTACCGTCTGGATGAATTCCGACGTGTGTTTTCGAATCGAACATATGCTGCGTAAGAGTTGCTGCAGCCAGGTGAGGCGGTTACGAGCAGCTCAACCTTTGGTGCGATTGTACAGACAGATAATTGTCGCTAGGTTGCAAGATCGGATGATTCTTCATCCCAGATGTTAGTGGCAAGCTCGTATTCAGCAGTGTCCAATATTGAGTTGATGATTTTGCATGCCAGTGCACTGAGTGGTACATATGAAATGGATCCGAATATTCTGACGAGTTGTTTTGTGCTCTTGTAGCGTATGTAAAAAGCGTTGTGCGTTTGTGGTTGTGCCATCACTGATTGGAATGTCGTGATAGCAAAGTCAAGAACGACGTATTGTTGTGGACGTTGTTGTGATTCGGTCTATGCATGCCGGATCGGTATGTTAATAGTGTGTTGACAGTGATAACACGTGAGCATGAGGCTCTGGTTGTCGAGCGCTCGCTTCTCGAACGGGAGGCACGTGGATCGATGCCATGTCTCTCCGGCGTGATCATGTTACGATGACAAAACCAGTCAGCACCAGCACATTCCCAAATGTGCACTTCGCAGTTCAACTGCGTCACCAGCTGACCTTGAGTAACACTTTTTTCAGCACATTTTCGGTTGGTAGTCCCTGTTTTGTTGTACTTATCTGACGATGTGTAGACAATTTGCAATCAAAGCTGCGCTATCGATTGATTTGCGCCGCGTCAAGTCTTGATTCTTCTTGCTGTCTTACTTGACAGTATTGTAAAGACGAACAGAAACCACTCGGCTCTGTACATGACTGATGAGGCGCATCTATCTATTTGATTTACAAGCCCGGAGCGCGCACTACCGTCTGGATGAATTCCGACGTGTGTTTTCGAATCGAACATATGCTGCGTAAGAGTTGCTGCAGCCAGGTGAGGCGGTTACGAGCAGCTCAACCTTTGGTGCGATTGTACAGACAGATAATTGTCGCTAGGTTGCAAGATCGGATGATTCTTCATCCCAGATGTTAGTGGCAAGCTCGTATTCAGCAGTGTCCAATATTGAGTTGATGATTTTGCATGCCAGTGCACTGAGTGGTACATATGAAATGGATCCGAATATTCTGACGAGTTGTTTTGTGCTCTTGTAGCGTATGTCAAAAGCGTTGTGCGTTTGTGGTTGTGCCATCACTGATTGGAATGTCGTGATAGCAAAGTCAAGAACGACGTATTGTTGTGGCCGTTGTTGTGATTCGGTCTATGCATGCCGGATCGGTATGTTAATAGTGTGTTGACAGTGATAACACGTGAGCATGAGGCTCTGGTTGTCGAGCGCTCGCTTCTCGAACGGGAGGCACGTGGATCGATGCCATGTCTCTCCGGCGTGATCATGTTACGATGACAAAACCAGTCAGCACCAGCACATTCCCAAATGTGCACTTCGCAGTTCAACTGCGTCACCAGCTGACCTTGAGTAACACTTTTTTCAGCACATTTTCGGTTGGTAGTCCCTGTTTTGTTGTACTTATCTGACGATGTGTAGACAATTTGCAATCAAAGCTGCGCTATCGATTGATTTGCGCCGCGTCAAGTCTTGATTCTTCTTGCTGTCTTACTTGACAGTATTGTAAAGACGAACAGAAACCACTCGGCTCTGTACATGACTGATGAGGCGCATCTATCTATTTGATTTACAAGCCCGGAGCGCGCACTACCGTCTGGATGAATTCCGACGTGTGTTTTCGAATCGAACATATGCTGCGTAAGAGTTGCTGCAGCCAGGTGAGGCGGTTACGAGCAGCTCAACCTTTGGTGCGATTGTACAGACAGATAATTGTCGCTAGGTTGCAAGATCGGATGATTCTTCATCCCAGATGTTAGTGGCAAGCTCGTATTCAGCAGTGTCCAATATTGAGTTGATGATTTTGCATGCCAGTGCACTGAGTGGTACATATGAAATGGATCCGAATATTCTGACGAGTTGTTTTGTGCTCTTGTAGCGTATGTCAAAAGCGTTGTGCGTTTGTGGTTGTGCCATCACTGATTGGAATGTCGTGATAGCAAAGTCAAGAACGACGTATTGTTGTGGACGTTGTTGTGATTCGGTCTATGCATGCCGGATCGGTATGTTAATAGTGTGTTGACAGTGGTAACACGTGAGCATGAGGCTCTGGTTGTCGAGCGCTCGCTTCTCGAACGGGAGGCACGTGGATCGATGCCATGTCTCTCCGGCGTGATCATGTTACGATGACAAAACCAGTCAGCACCAGCACATTCCCAAATGTGCACTTCGCAGTTCAACTGCGTCACCAGCTGACCTTGAGTAACACTTTTTCAGCACATCTTCGGTTGGTAGTCCCTGTTTTGTTGTACTTATCTGACGATGTGTAGACAATTTGCAATCAAAGCTGCGCTATCGATTGATTTGCGCCGCGTCAAGTCTTGATTCTTCTTGCTGTCTTACTTGACAGTATTGTAAAGACGAACAGAAACCACTCGGCTCTGTACATGACTGATGAGGCGCATCTATCTATTTGATTTACAAGCCCGGAGCGCGCACTACCGTCTGGATGAATTCCGACGTGTGTTTTCGAATCGAACATATGCTGCGTAAGAGTTGCTGCAGCCAGGTGAGGCGGTTACGAGCAGCTCAACCTTTGGTGCGATTGTACAGACAGATAATTGTCGCTAGGTTGCAAGATCGGATGATTCTTCATCCCAGATGTTAGTGGCAAGCTCGTATTCAGCAGTGTCCAATATTGAGTTGATGATTTTGCATGCCAGTGCACTGAGTGGTACATATGAAATGGATCCGAATATTCTGACGAGTTGTTTTGTGCTCTTGTAGCGTATGTAAAAAGCGTTGTGCGTTTGTGGTTGTGCCATCACTGATTGGAATGTCGTGATAGCAAAGTCAAGAACGACGTATTGTTGTGGACGTTGTTGTGATTCGGTCTATGCATGCCGGATCGGTATGTTAATAGTGTGTTGACAGTGATAACACGTGAGCATGAGGCTCTGGTTGTCGAGCGCTCGCTTCTCGAACGGGAGGCACGTGGATCGATGCCATGTCTCTCCGGCGTGATCATGTTACGATGACAAAACCAGTCAGCACCAGCACATTCCCAAATGTGCACTTCGCAGTTCAACTGCGTCACCAGCTGACCTTGAGTAACACTTTTTTCAGCACATCTTCGGTTGGTAGTCCCTGTTTTGTTGTACTTATCTGACGATGTGTAGACAATTTGCAATCAAAGCTGCGCTATCGATTGATTTGCGCCGCGTCAAGTCTTGATTCTTCTTGCTGTCTTACTTGACAGTATTGTAAAGACGAACAGAAACCACTCGGCTCTGTACATGACTGATGAGGCGCATCTATCTATTTGATTTACAAGCCCGGAGCGCGCACTACCGTCTGGATGAATTCCGACGTGTGTTTTCGAATCGAACATATGCTGCGTAAGAGTTGCTGCAGCCAGGTGAGGCGGTTACGAGCAGCTCAACCTTTGGTGCGATTGTACAGACAGATAATTGTCGCTAGGTTGCAAGATCGGATGATTCTTCATCCCAGATGTTAGTGGCAAGCTCGTATTCAGCAGTGTCCAATATTGAGTTGATGATTTTGCATGCCAGTGCACTGAGTGGTACATATGAAATGGATCCGAATATTCTGACGAGTTGTTTTGTGCTCTTGTAGCGTATGTCAAAAGCGTTGTGCGTTTGTGGTTGTGCCATCACTGATTGGAATGTCGTGATAGCAAAGTCAAGAACGACGTATTGTTGTGGACGTTGTTGTGATTCGGTCTATGCATGCCGGATCGGTATGTTAATAGTGTGTTGACAGTGATAACACGTGAGCATGAGGCTCTGGTTGTCGAGCGCTCGCTTCTCGTGTTAGAATTAACTAGGTTGTGGAGCTGATGCTGAGAAGAAGATGGCTTACGGCCGGGGATGAAAACCTAAAAGTGAGTTGTATTCAAATTGTTCCTAGCTTCGAAAACGAATGGCTAGTAGTAGCCGGTGACTCTCAGCCACCTATTTCGTGCCCTGTCTCCACCTCTTTCTGTTTTACCTATCCCTGGGTAATTACGTCTCGTAAATACCTTTCGTAAAAACTCTGCTGTGTCATATGCTGAATGAAAACGATTGCGTGGGTGGGGGACGTAACTGCGGGCGGGTCACAGTTCTGGTGAACCCCAAACACCAGGTCGTGAGTGTCAGTCACAATTAACTTGTACACGGCGGGGATCGAACCCGCACTCACCCGCGTGGAATCCCCCTTCCCAAACGACTGAGCCAATCCGATGACTTGTCGTTTCGCTAACATCCCACAATATAAACCTGCCAAAGAACAATACAACTAATGCAAATATGCAATATACACCCTGCACAAGTCGCCGCATCATCACTCGCTAACACTCTCCCTTGATGTGCGTGCGACGTGTGACCCCTACACCGCCATGCACAAACCCGTGATGAACTTGCTGTGCTTGTCTCTTGATAGTGCTTTGGTGAATCCATCCGCGACCATTTCTTCTGTCGGCTTGAACTCTAGCGCGATAACTGCACTTGCAACCTTTTCACGCAAAAAGTGAAACTTGATGTCGATGTGCTTCGTGCGCGAGTGGTACACAGGATTCTTGGCCAGCGCGATGCATCCTTGATTGTCTTGAAAAATCGTCGTCGCGTTCTTGGCACAGTAGTTCAGGTCCTTGAGCAGACCTCGAAGCCAAATTGCTTCCTGCGTCGCGCTGTACAGACTCATGTACTCTGCTTCCGTACTTGAGGTCGCGACCGTTGGTTGACGCTTCGAATTCCACGATATCACGCTTCCGTTCAGGAAGAAAACGTATCCTGTTGTCGAACGCCGCGTGTCGAGGTCGCCAGCCCAGTTTGCATCTGCAAATCCAATAAGCTCTCCCTTGTTGATGCCGCTGAACACGATGCTTAAGTCTTGAGTCGTCTTGAGATACTTGAGAATCCGCTTTGCTGCTGTCCAATGCGACTTGTCGTAGCGCTCGCAAAACTTCGCAACTTCGCCAACCGCATGCGCAATGTCCGGTCGTGTACATGTGGCGATGTACATTAAAGCGCCCACCAGCTCACGGTATGGGTACTTTGGTACAAACGCTTCCTCTTGACCCATCTTGATCAGCTTCGAATTACTGTCCGCCGGCGTGTGCATGTCCTTGCAGTTCTCAACGCCGAACTTCTCCGAAAGTCGCTTGATGTACGCCTTCTGGTTCATCTTGATCGTTCCATCTTCGCGCTTGCGATGAATCTCGATCCCGAGGCAGTACTTGAGATCTCCAAGATCTTTAATGCTGAAATCTTCCATCAATGAGTTCTTGATACTTGCGATGTGCTCCTTCGTCTTGCAGAAAATCATCAAGTCGTCCACGTAGATCACGATGATGCTGTACTCCTCTCTTGTCACTCGAACGAACACACACGGGTCCGCTGCACTGCTCTTGAATCCTTGATCAACCAAGTGCTGACTCAACTTGTTGTTCCACTGCCGCGCCGCTTGCTTCGTCCCGTATAGCGCCTTCTGCAGCAAACACTTCTTATTCGGGCTTCCTTCATCTTCAAAACCGTCAGGTTGGTCCATGTAGATCTCCTCTTCCACTTCGCCGTAGAGAAACGCTGTGTCGACATCAACGTTCTCTGCTTCCAGGTCTTCAGCTGCAGCGATCGCCAACACTGTGTTGATAGATTCCTTGCGCGCCACTGGTGCAAAGGTCTCGTTGTAGTCGATGCCAGGACGCTGCGTGAACCCTTTCGCAACCAAGCGTGCCTTGAACTTGATGATCTCGCCACTTGGATCGCGTTTAATCTTGAAGACCCACTTGCAGCCAACGGCCTTCTTGCCCGGTGGCATTTCCATTAGCTTCCATGTGCTGTGTTCTTCAAGCGACTTCATCTCGCTCTTCATTGCCTGGAGCCACTGCTCCTTGTAGCCGCTCTTCATCACTTCTTGATAGCTGGACGCTTGTTCCCCATCTTCTTCAGCCGAGAAACAGTAGAAAGAGTCGAAGTCACCTTCGTAGTCGTCCAAATTGAAGTGACCGCGACGATGGCTTGGAAATTCTTGATCGTAGCGAACCACGCCGCGCTTCTTTCGAACCGGTCGCACCATCCACTCTTCTTCTCCATTTCTTCCGGGTGTGCTGGATGCGCGCGTAGGAATGGTGTCGCTTGGTCGAACACTTGGTCCGTGATGAGAGCTGTTCTGCGCTCGAAGTGGTGGGGTGCGCAGCTCTTCTTCGGTCACCGGCGCTGGTATGTCTTCATCATCGGGTAACGACGCCTCCACACTTTCCTCTTCTTCAATGACATCGAACACCCGCGTGTCTCTGCTTTTTGATGCTTTCGAGACAGAATGCTCAGCGAACGTGACGCTTCTTGAAATCACGATTGAGCCATCGTCCGCGTTGAGAAGCCGATACGCCTTTTGGTCCTTCGCATAGCCGAGAAAGAAACATCGCACGCCTGGGTCGTCCAGCTTCTTTCTCTTCTCCTTCGCCACATGCGCATAGCATTGCGCACCAAACACGCGCATGTGATCGATGCGCGGAACCTTCTTGAACACCATCTCGTGTGGGCTTGAGTTCTTGTTCGACGCGTTCGGCAGAATGTTTCTGATGTCTGCCGCTGTCATTAGTGCCTCGCACCAATAGGACTTGTCGAGACCGCTTTCCTTTAGCATACAGCGCGTCATCTCCACCAGCGTGCGGTTCATCCGCTCCGCCATCCCGTTCTGCTCTGGGTTGTACGGAACCGTGAACTCTTGCTTGATGAACTTTGCCTTGCAAAAGCTGTTCATCGTTGCGTTCCGGTATTCGCCGCCGTTGTCACTTCGCAACACCTTTATCTTCGTTCCAGATGCTGTCTTGACATCTTGGTAAAACCGCTTGAACGCACTCGCAACGTCGCTCTTCTTTCGCAACGGATAGACCGTTACATATCTGCTCTTCATCATGATGAAGGTTACGGCGTAACTGAAACCAGACTTGGACGCTGGCGTGATAGGACCGAGAACGTCGGAGCACACCACCACGTCGGAACGCGAACTCTCCCTGGTTTCAGCGTCTTCTTCACTTGTCTTGAATGACTTGCGCACTTGCTTTGACGTTGCGCATACGTCACACGCAACGTTCGTCTTCATCGTTGCGCCCTTGATCCTTCCGTCCTTGACCATGGCATTCAGCGTACCATACGACACGTGACCCAGTCTTCTATGCCATAGCTCTGTGTCGTCTTCGGCCATGTGGCACTCCGTACCATAGTCAGCATTGAGATACAGGAGGAACCCCTGCTTCCTTCCTGTTGCGACGGGTGTGCCGCCACGCTTGACCACGCACTCGTTGCGCGTTATCTCCACTGTCATGCCGCGCGCTGCCGCAGCCGTGAGCGAAAACAGGTTCTTGGACAAATCTTGAACGTGAAGTGTGTTCTCAAGGCGAGCGTCGATCCACGCATGTCCTGTCCAGACGCGCAGCTTCACTGTCCCATGTCCAATGACATTCAGCTTCACGTCGCTCTTTGCGCTTGAAATGCTTCGCGCATGATGCACTTCTTCGTACTCTTCGAACGCATCTCGATCCTTGCACATGTGTGCTGACGCGCCACTGTCCATGACCCAGCTGTTGCTCGCGAAACCTTCGCTGGCATGAAACGCGACATTCGACTGGTCATGCTGTTGCTCCCTTGGCCCTCGACCGGAGCGACAATCTCTGGCGTAGTGTCCGACCTTGCCACAGTTGTAGCAGGTCCCTGATGGTCCTTTCGCGCGCCGTCCTTGTTGCTTCTTCGGGTACTGCTTACCCTTCCTCTTGCCTGCGTAGAGCGCCGTTGCATCTTCTACTCGTGCTCCCTCATTCTGGCGCACTTCTTCGGCGATCAACTTGCTCACGAGGTCACTGAAACTGAAGCTTGCGACGGACATGCGGAATGCCTGTACCAAGCTCTCGAAGCTTGAAGGTAGACTCCGCAACAGTACTGCGCACACGTCCTCTTCACTTGGACCGCAGTTCGCGCGCTTCATCTTCATCACGAGGTCCTCCAGCTCCATCACATGACCGCTCATGCTTGATGCTGCATACTTGAACGACGCGAACTTTTCCTTCAGCCAAAGTCGATTCGCCATGTCATGACTGTGATGAAATCGCGCCAGACGTCCCCACGCTTCTCTTGCGGTGGCCGAGTCGATGACATGCATCAACTGTGAATCGCTCAGATTCAGCACGATCGCGGCGTGGGCTTGCTGTTCCTTGGCCTCACTTGTTGTCTCATCGCCCGCGATCGCGCCCCACAGCCCCTTCGACATCAGGTACATCTTCATCTTGTAACTCCACAACCCATAGTTCGAGCCGTCGAAAGGCTCGACCTTGAAACCGGAGTCGTTCTTTGGGCTCATAACCTGTTAGAATTAACTAGGTTGTGGAGCTGATGCTGAGAAGAAGATGGCTTACGGCCGGGGATGAAAACCGAAAAGTGAGTTGTATTCAAATTGTTCCTAGCTTCGAAAACGAATGGCTAGTAGTAGCCGGTGACTCTCAGCCACCTATTTCGTGCCCTGTCTCCACCGCTTTCTGTTTTACCTATCCCTGGGTAATTACGTCTCGTAAATACCTTTCGTAAAAACTCTGCTGTGTCATATGCTGAATGAAAACGATTGCGTGGGTGGGGGGACGTAACTGCGGGCGGGTCACAGTTCTGGTGAACCCCAAACACCAGGTCGTGAGTGTCAGTCACAATTAACTTGTACACGGCGGGGATCGAACCCGCACTCACCCGCGTGGAATCCCCCTTCCCAAACGACTGAGCCAATCCGATGACTTGTCGTTTCGCTAACATCCCACAATATAAACCTGCCAAAGAACAATACAACTAATGCAAATATGCAATATACACCCTGCACAAGTCGCCGCATCATCACTCGCTAACATCTCGAACCCCGGGAGGCACGTGGATCGATGCCATGCATCTCCGGCGTGATCATGTTACGATGACAAAACCAGTCAGCACCAGCACATTCCCAAATGTGCACTTCGCAGTTCAACTGCGTCACCAGCTGACCTTGAGTAACACTTTTTTCAGCACATCTTCGGTTGGTAGTCCCTGTTTTGTTGTACTTATCTGACGATGTGTAGACAATTTGCAATCAAAGCTGCGCTATCGATTGATTTGCGCCGCGTCAAGTCTTGATTATTCTTGCTGTCTTACTTGACAGTATTGTAAAGACGAACAGAAACCACTCGGCTCTGTACATGACTGATGAGGCGCATCTATCTATTTACTTTACAAGCCCGGAGCGCGCACTACCGTCTGGATGCATTCCGACGTGTGTTTTCGAATCGAACATATGCTGCGTAAGAGTTGCTGCAGCCAGGTGAGGCGGTTACGAGCAGCTCAACCTTTGGTGCGATTGTACAGACAGATAATTGTCGCTAGGTTGCAAGATCGGATGATTCTTCATCCCAGATGTTAGTGGCAAGCTCGTATTCAGCAGTGTCCAATATTGAGTTGATGATTTTGCATGCCAGTGCACTGAGTGGTACATATGAAATGGATCCGAATATTCTGACGAGTTGTTTTGTGCTCTTGTAGCGTATGTCAAAAGCATTGTGCGTTTGTGGTTGTGCCATCACTGATTGGAATGTCGTGATAGCAAAGTCAAGAACGACGTATTGTTGTGGCCGTTGTTGTGATTCGGTCTATGCATGCCGGATCGGTATGTTAATAGTGTGTTGACAGTGATAACACGTGAGCATGAGGCTCTGGTTGTCGAGCGCTCGCTTCTCGAACGGGAGGCACGTGGATCGATGCCATGTCTCTCCGGCGTGATCATGTTACGATGACAAAACCAGTCAGCACCAGCACATTCCCAAATGTGCACTTCGCAGTTCAACTGCGTCACCAGCTGACCTTGAGTAACACTTTTTTCAGCACATTTTCGGTTGGTAGTCCCTGTTTTGTTGTACTTATCTGACGATGTGTAGACAATTTGCAATCAAAGCTGCGCTATCGATTGATTTGCGCCGCGTCAAGTCTTGATTCTTCTTGCTGTCTTACTTGACAGTATTGTAAAGACGAACAGAAACCATTCGGCTCTGTACATGACTGATGAGGCGCATCTATCTATTTACTTTACAAGCCCGGAGCGCGCACTACCATCTGGATGCATTCCGACGTGTGTTTTCGAATCGAACATATGCTGCGTAACAGTTGCTGCAGCCAGGTGAGGCGGTTACGAGCAGCTCAACCTTTGGTGCGATTGTACAGACAGATAATTGTCGCTAGGTTGCAAGATCGGATGATTCTTCATCCCAGATGTAAGCGGCAAGCTCGTATTCAGCAGTGTCCAATATTGAGTTGATGATTTTGCATGCCAGTGCACTGAGTGGTGCATATGAAATGGATCCGAATATTCTGACGAGTTGTTTTGTGCTCTTGTAGCGTATGTAAAAAGCGTTTGTGCGTTTGTGGTTGTGCCATCACTGATTGGAATGTCGTGATAGCAAAGTCAAGAACGACGTATTGTTGTGGCCGTTGTTGTGATTCGGTCTATGCATGCCGGATCGGTATGTTAATAGTGTGTTGACAGTGGTAACACGTGAGCATGAGGCTCTGGTTGTCGAGCGCTCGCTTCTCGAACGGGAGGCACGTGGATCGATGCCATGCATCTCCGGCGTGATCATGTTACGATGACAAAACCAGTCAGCACCAGCACATTCCCAAATGTGCACTTCGCAGTTCAACTGCGTCACCAGCTGACCTTGAGTAACACTTTTTTCAGCACATCTTCGGTTGGTAGTCCCTGTTTTGTTGTACTTATCTGACGATGTGTAGACAATTTGCAATCAAAGCTGCGCTATCGATTGATTTGCGCCGCGTCAAGTCTTGATTCTTCTTGCTGTCTTACTTGACAGTATTGTAAAGACGAACAGAAACCACTCGGCTCTGTACATGACTGATGAGGCGCATCTATCTATTTGCTTTACAAGCCCGGAGCGCGCACTACCGTCTGGATGAATTCCGACGTGTGTTTTCGAATCGAACATATGCTGCGTAAGAGTTGCTGCAGCCAGGTGAGGCGGTTACGAGCAGCTCAACCTTTGGTGCGATTGTACAGACAGATAATTGTCGCTAGGTTGCAAGATCGGGTGATTCTTCATCCCAGATGTAAGTGGCAAGCTCGTATTCAGCAGTGTCCAATATTGAGTTGATGATTTTGCATGCCAGTGCACTGAGTGGTACATATGAAATGGATCCGAATATTCTGACGAGTTGTTTTGTGCTCTTGTAGCGTATGTAAAAAGCGTTGTGCGTTTGTGGTTGTGCCATCACTGATTGGAATGTCGTGATAGCAAAGTCAAGAACGACGTATTGTTGTGGCCGTTGTTGTGATTCGGTCTATGCATGCCGGATCGGTATGTTAATAGTGTGTTGACAGTGGTAACACGTGAGCATGAGGCTCTGGTTGTCGAGCGCTCGCTTCTCGAACGGGAGGCACGTGGATCGATGCCATGCATCTCCGGCGTGATCATGTTACGATGACAAAACCAGTCAGCACCAGCACATTCCCAAATGTGCACTTCGCAGTTCAACTGCGTCACCAGCTGACCTTGAGTAACACTTTTTCAGCACATTTTCGGTTGGTAGTCCCTGTTTTGTTGTACTTATCTGACGATGTGTAGACAATTTGCAATCAAAGCTGCGCTATCGATTGATTTGCGCCGCGTCAAGTCTTGATTCTTCTTGCTGTCTTACTTGACAGTATTGTAAAGACGAACAGAAACCACTCGGCTCTGTACATGACTGATGAGGCGCATCTATCTATTTGCATTTACAAGCCCGGAGCGCGCACTACCGTCTGGATGCATTCCGACGTGTGTTTTCGAATCGAACATATGCTGCGTAAGAGTTGCTGCAGCCAGGTGAGGCGGTTACGAGCAGCTCAACCTTTGGTGCGATTGTACAGACAGATAATTGTCGCTAGGTTGCAAGATCGGATGATTCTTCATCCCAGATGTTAGTGGCAAGCTCGTATTCAGCAGTGTCCAATATCGAGTTGATGATTTTGCATGCCAGTGCACTGAGTGGTGCATATGAAATGGATCCGAATATTCTGACGAGTTGTTTTGTGCTCTTGTAGCGTGTGTAAAAAGCGTTTGTGCGTTTGTGGTTGTGCCATCACTGATTGGAATGTCGTGATAGCAATGTCAAGAATGACGTATTGTTGTGGCCGTTGTTGTGATTCGGTCTATGCATGCCGGATCGGTATGTTACTAGTGTGTTGACAGTGGTAACACGTGAGCATGAGGCTCTGGTTGTCGAGCGCTCGCTTCTCGAACGGGAGGCACGTGGATCGATGCCATGCCTCTCCGGCGTGATCATGTTACGATGACAAAACCAGTCAGCACCAGCACATTCCCAAATGTGCACTTCGCAGTTCAACTGCGTCACCAGCTGACCTTGAGTAACACTTTTTTCAGCACATCTTCGGTTGGTAGTCCCTGTTTTGTTGTACTTATCTGACGATGTGTAGACAATTTGCAATCAAAGCTGCGCTATCGATTGATTTGCGCCGCGTCAAGTCTTGATTCTTCTTGCTGTCTTACTTGACAGTATTGTAAAGACGAACAGAAACCACTCGGCTCTGTACATGACTGATGAGGCGCATCTATCTATTTGCTTTACAAGCCCGGAGCGCGCACTACCGTCTGGATGCATTCCGACGTGTGTTTTCGAATCGAACATATGCTGCGTAAGAGTTGCTGCAGCCAGGTGAGGCGGTTACGAGCAGCTCAACCTTTGGTGCGATTGTACAGACAGATAATTGTCGCTAGGTTGCAAGATCGGATGATTCTTCATCCCAGATGTTAGTGGCAAGCTCGTATTCAGCAGTGTCCAATATCGAGTTGATGATTTTGCATGCCAGTGCACTGAGTGGTACATATGAAATGGATCCGAATATTCTGACGAGTTGTTTTGTGCTCTTGTAGCGTATGTAAAAAGCGTTTGTGCGTTTGTGGTTGTGCCATCACTGATTGGAATGTCGTGATAGCAAAGTCAAGAACGACGTATTGTTGTGGCCGTTGTTGTGATTCGGTCTATGCATGCCGGATCGGTATGTTAATAGTGTGTTGACAGTGGTAACACGTGAGCATGAGGCTCTGGTTGTCGAGCGCTCGCTTCTCGAACGGGAGGCACGTGAATCGATGCCATGTCTCTCCGGCGTGATCATGTTACGATGACAAAACCAGTCAGCACCAGCACATTCCCAAATGTGCACTTCGCAGTTCAACTGCGTCACCAGCTGACCTTGAGTAACACTTTTTTCAGCACATCTTCGGTTGGTAGTCCCTGTTTTGTTGTACTTATCTGACGATGTGTAGACAATTTGCAATCAAAGCTGCGCTATCGATTGATTTGCGCCGCGTCAAGTCTTGATTCTTCTTGCTGTCTTACTTGACAGTATTGTAAAGACGAACAGAAACCACTCGGCTCTGTACATGACTGATGAGGCGCATCTATCTATTTACTTTACAAGCCCGGAGCGCGCACTACCGTCTGGATGCATTCCGACGTGTGTTTTCGAATCGAACATATGCTGCGTAAGAGTTGCTGCAGCCAGGTG